GTACTGAGAGTTCCCACATAGAACCCCATACCTAGTTTTTACGTATTATTAACATCTTACATTAGGATAGTACATTTGTTACAATAAACCAATGTAGACACAGGATTATTCTAACTAAAGTCTATGGTTTATTCAGATTCATACATTTTTTGCCTAATATTCTTTTTCTGTTTTAGGATCCCATTAAGGACACCATATTACATTAAGTCTCCTTTGACTACTCTTGGCTATGACAATTTCTCAGACTTCATTTGTTTTTGATGACCCTGACAGTTTTTGTGTTTTTTTTTTTTTGAGATAGAGTCTCAAGCTGTCACCCTGGGTAGAGTGCTATGGCATCACAGCTCACAGCAACCACCAAATCTTGGGCTTAAGTGATTCTCTTGCCTCAGCCTCCCAAATAGCTGGGACAACAGGTGCCCACCACAATGCCCAGCTATTTTTGTTGTTGTTGTTGCCATTGTTTTAGCTGGCCTGGACTGGGTTGGAATCCACCAGCCTTGGTATATGTAGCCAGTGCCCTACCCACTGAGCTATGGGCACTGCCTGACCCTGACAGTTTTGAAGAGTGTTTTGGTCAGTTATTTTGTAGAATGTCCCTCTCTGGGGATTTGTATCTTTATTTATTTATTTATTTATTTATTTTTGAGACAGAGCCTCAAGCTGTCACCCTGGGTAGAGTGCTATGGCATCACAGCTCACAGCAGCCTCCAACTCCTGGACTCAAGCAATTCTCCTGCCTCCGCCTCCCAAGTAGCTGGGACTACAGGCGCCCACCACAACGCCCGGCTATTTTTTGGTTGCGGCTGTCGTTGTTTGGTGGACCTGAGCTGGATTTGGACCCATCAGCTCAGATGTATGTGGCTGGTGCCTTAGCTGCTTGAGCCATAGGTGCCAAGCCTGTGTCTTCATTGTTTAAAATTTTATTTACTAGAGCACCTGTGGCTCAGTGGTAGGGCACCTATCCATATACCAAGGGTGGCGGGTTCAAACCTGGCCCTGGCCAAACTGGAACAAAAAAGTAGCTGGGTGTTATGACAGGCACCTGTAGTCCCAGCTACTTGAGAGGCTAAGGCAAAAGAATTGCTTAAGCCCAAGAGCTGGAGGTTGCTGTGAGCTGTGTGACGTCATGGCACTCTACCGAGGGTGACAAAGTGAGACTCTGTCTCTACAAAAAAAAAATGTCTTTATTTACTAAAAAAAAAGGTTACTATAGGCTAGTCATTGTGTGAGGTAATGGGGATAGAGCAGTGAATTAAGACATTTTATAAATGGTATTTTAAAGTTTGTTGGGTATTTTTTTTCCCCTTGCTGTGTTGCCTGAGCTGGTTTAGAATTCCTGGACTTAGGCAATTCTCTTACCTCAGATTTCTCAGTAGCTGGGATTACCACACCTAGCTGATAAGTAGCATTTTAAAATCACTGACATGACTGTGGGACTTTGGGAAAGCTGTATGTGCTGGTGGAGCTAGGATGTGAACCCAGGCAGCCAGTCCTCAAGCCAATGCCCTTGACTACTGTGCTGTTGCTGCCTCTTGTATGAAGAGGAGAGAATTCTTCAGGCTGGTTTGAGGTAATAGGCAAATCTTAAAAAATCAGACAACCAAATGATGATCAGGAAAGTAGATTGGTAAACAGAGTGAATTAGAAGTGAAATGGAGTCATTTTTGGCTAAGTGGATTAGGGAAAATGAGTTAAATCTTTTTTGTTTTAAAATTTTTATTTTTTTATTTTTATTAAATCATAACTGTGTACATTGATGCACTTATGTGGTTCAGTGTACTGATTAGATATACAATGTGAAATGCTTACATTGAACTAATTAACACATCCATCACAATTATATTCTTTTCTT